AAAACAAAAAAGTCTAAGGGCTTTGAATAAATTATTAAAAAGCTTTTCTGTACATAAGAGTTAAAGAATTCACCCATTTCCATTTCCTTTTTTTTTTTTTTTTTCCGGAACCAGGGATTGAACTCAGGCCCTTGTGCTTGCCAGAGAAGCACTTATTCTACTGAGCCATCTCCCTAGCCCCCTATTTCCTTCTAAGATGTGTGTGAGTTTTAAAATTTATTTATCCGTGGTACTAGGATTGAACCCAGGATCTTGGGAATTCTAGGCTCTAGCACCGAGATGCATCTTCAGGTCCCTATTTTATTTTTATTTTTTAAATTTTGAGACAAGAGCTTGCTAAATTGCCTGGGCTGGGCTTAAACTTGTGGTCCTCCTGCTTTTGCCTCATGCAAGGAGTTGAAATGAACAGGTGTGTGCCACCACACCCAACTGATTTCATACTTCTATATTTGCATGCAGAGCTGTGTGCTGGTATAAAGTATAAACCTAATTTAATTTTTTTAGAATGGCTGTGGAGCTAACTCAGGTCCACCTATAAAGTGTACCTTTGTCCTAGCGACCTGCAGTGTCCCCTTTGGCATATATTAAATTCCTTTCTTACTGGAGTCCTTCTCTGGACTTTGCTCTGCTAACCACTGTGTCTGCCTATGTCAGGGCCATACTTCGTTAGGCGACTTCTGAGTATGTTTTTGTGTCTTACAGGATTAGAACCCATCCTGTGGTTTTGCCATGTTTTTTCTGGCTATTTTTAATCTATTTTTAACTTAGACTTTAATATCAACTTAACCAGCTCCATGAAAACATTCTTTTTGTGTGTGTGTGTGTGGTATCAGGATTGAACTCAGGCCCTTGTGCTTGCCAGGCAAGCGCTTATTCAACTGAGCTATCTCCCCAGCCCCTATACATTTCTTTTAATTTAGGTAAAACTCACATCGTTGTGTTGAGTTGTAAAATCTTTCAATTGGTTCAAGTCTATTTTTGTGTCTTCTAAGAGTGTTTTAATGGTGGGCTGAGCTGGCCACACACACACACACACACACACACATACAATAAA